CGGGGCGCGGGGCCGTGGGGCGCGGGGCGGCGGGGTGGACGCGTTTCTCTCTGCTTTTCTCCAGAGCAAGAAGCACGCCAACAAGGTGAGGCGGTACCTGTCCATCCACGGCGGAGAGGAGCTCGCCCACGGGAAGAAGATGAGGCTGGATGCGAAGCAGGTGAGAGGAGAGCGTAGAGCCCTTTGGGCCTAAATACCGCCGAGCGGGAGCTGCTGGGCTAAAGGCTGTTGTATGGCCAGGGCACCTTTATGAATAAATGAAGAAAACGCTCTCAGAAAGGGCACTGTGAGAACTGAAGAGCTCAGTAGCAGGTGTGTCGCCAAGCCTTGTCTCAGTGAGGGCGGTTCTTGCAGCCCTTTGCATTTAAGCAGCCTCTGTGAATACGTCTTCCACATTTAAACAAATGCACGTTGCCTTTTATTGATAGTCCTGCTTGAAAGGACAGGAAAAGGTGAACAGGAGCAAAGGCTTGTCAGGAGTATCACTGTGCAACCTTTACTGTCACAGAGACCACATTGGGTTGACCACCTACTGTAATTCTCTTTCCAGAGCAATCCTTCTTTTACTTATTTAGGTTTCCTCAGCTAGTAGCTGGAGTCTGTTGGTCAATAAAGGCACCACGTTCCACTCGGCCATCTGTCTGCCCTGTGACTCATTTGGGAAACAGATTCTACTTTTATGATTGCTTTAGCTTTAATCCCTAACCCTCCAACATTTGTGGCGGGGGGGGTGAGGGGTAGAGACGGATGCCTTCGCACATAGTGTTGGTCTTAGAAGTGACTGCTGCTGCCTGATCTGCTGGCATCATGTTGCAGATGACCCAGCTGATAGCGATGTTTGTGTTGCTCACTTCACACCTTGCAGAGTAAAAGGCTGCCTGTTCCAATTGTGGCAACAACACACTTAACCTTGTCCTTAACCCATACAGGCCAGGGCTGCCCCTCTGCCTGGAGTCATTCACTAATGGGTTACAGAAAAATAATGTGGCGCAGAAACACTTTCCAGTGAGGGAGAGGGTGATGTTGCATCATGGAAGTGCTACTCCCACTACTTCAACTAGTCTCCCGAATGTCTCCAATTACCTTGTTTTCTTAAACCCCCAAACCTTCGTGTTTCTTGTCATAACAAGAAGGTTGGATGAGGTGACCTGCAGAGGTCCCTGCCAACCTCAGCCACTCTGCGGTTCTGTGTGCACAGGACAGCAAGCAGGAAGGCACCAACGGGGAAGACAGGAACAAGTGTTGTCCCATCTGCAACATGACCTTTTCCTCTCCAGCCGTGGCAACATCTCACTACTTGGGCAAGACTCATGCCAAGAACATGAAGCAGCAGTCCACCAAAGTGGAAGGTATGACTGTCTGCAGCATCTTCGTGCTGTACAAAGGGGCTGTTCAAGCAATAAAAAAACTAAGAGGCTCATTGGACCTCAAGTGCAAGCTCTTGTGAGGGTGTGCTGACTCTTTACTGTGAAACAGAGTAAGTCAGCAGTGCATCTCCAGAGACACAGCCTCTCTCATCAGCCTACTTCATGGGCTGGTGTTGACAAAAAGTTGTGTGGTTTTTTGTTTTGCTTTGTTTGGGAGAAATGCAGCTTGCGGCATTATTGTACCCATCCTGTGTGCAGGGACCAGGAGAGAACCAGTCTTCAGGGAGCATGTTGTTAAGCTGTAGAAATGCCTGTCACAGGTTACGAAACTCACTAAAAGCTTACAGGGCTTGAAGTGACTGGTAAAACTCAGATTCGGCAAATTCATCAGGCCTGCTCGACTACAGAGATGTAGCCTCTGAGGTTCGGGGACTTTTGAGCTGCAGGTAGCCAGGGACTGGGAGAGTACAGCTGGGAAGTATCCGTATGTGCTTGTCCTGACCTTGTGCTTTTCCCGTGGCACCTGCCGTTGACTGCTCCCGTGATGGGTTGCAGTCCAGGCAGACCTCGGGGCTGACCTAGTGCAGTTGCCTGTGTGTGCCATCTCATTGCTATCAGACAGAAAGGCCCAGTGAGTGGGGAGAGAGACCCTCTATCCAGGGTGGGTAGGGGAAACCGAGAGCCTGGGGTGCTGTAGCCAGTCAGGACAGAGGGAAAATACAGCCTTTGAGTGTACCTAAGGATGGCAGCTTGTGCAGGCTCTGAGCTGGGATCTTCCAGGCAGAAACTTTGTCCCGGGGTGTCTTCATGGCTTTGCTAGGTTGTGCGTGCACAACAAAGCCCCATCTCTGGGGTCTGGGTGGCCCACAGGATGTTTTTGTTCTTTGAAGCCCTTGATTTTGGGTATGAGAGGAACCTTCAGGAAGGGGTGGATGTACACATGGGCAGTCTGGTACATACCTTCCATTTTGGTATGAGAGGAGCTCTCTGGTCCTTGGTACCCTGTAATGAGAGCGTGCAGGTTTCTATGTCAGACAGGAGAGACGCTTCTCTATGTGGATTCCCTGCGTCAGACCTAGTCCCGCTCGTGCTGTTTCTCAGGCAAGACTCCTCATGACTTCAGGATCAAGTCCTGTGGCTGCACCGTGTTGCACCCACTTGCCTTTGCTGCACAGGTGCTTGTACCCATGTTCTAGCTGGGTGATGATAGTAGGTGGAAACTCATTCATGTCCAGGGTTTCTTGAAGACAGACATGCTTATGTTAAGGAGAAATATGCAAATCTGTTGGAGTTTTTTTAATGCTAAAAGTTTTTCTGTCCTACTCTGACTTGTCTTACCACACGCCTTTCATTTCTGCAGTGTTAAGGGAAGAGGTAGGAGCAATGTGTATTTATCCAGATGTCTTGCATTCTCTGTCTAGGTTTGGATTTTAGGTGTCATGGGTTATTTTAATACGGGGTTTGGGGAAATAAAGTTTTTAACTCCGAGTTCCGTGACTGACCAAGAGTTTGGATTCACCCTACAGAAGCAGTGCCCCCACAGAAACATCCTGCTACCCTCCCCACCTCTACTGTGTCTTCTAACGAAGAGAACAAGGACATTACTGACCCAGACAAGTTCTGTAGCCTCTGTCACGCCACTTTCAACAACCCCCTTATGGCAAAGCAGCATTATGTAGGCAAGAAGCACAGAAAGCAAGAGACCAAACACAAGCTGATGGCACACTATGGCCGAACCCCTGATGCATCGGCATCGTCCTTCATGGGTGAGTTCTCAGCAGGCTGGCTAACAAATAGCTGAAGCAGGGTGGGAGAGTGACAGTATGTGTCTGACGGGTGTTTGGACAAGAGAGTCCATGCAGAGGGAGCAGGGGAGAATTGCTTGTGATGAAAATCTTGATTATCACCATAAGATTGATTTGGTTGATGTTCTAACCCCCTGGCAGCAAGAGAGGTTTTAGGCTGTAGCCGTTCGTGACAATCTTTGAGTTGTGTTTTGCAATGTTGTCTAATCTGGGACACGTCCTTTTTATTCTCTGTGTGGATAATCCAGGGATTTTAGCCGGTACTGTTTCTAGCTAGGTGATTGCATCCAAAATGGAAAGATAAAAGTGGCATTTAGTGCTCAAAAAATGTCTTCAGAGGGGACTAGCCAAAGATGGAAGAAATAGGTTTAACTGCACCTGCTGCTTCAAAGCACATGAAAGCTAGAGAGATTTCTCCCTGAATGCCTTTCTACCTCTGTGTGGGCACTTCCATCTGATGAACTAATGCAACTCTCTCTGGAGCAAGCAGAAATGGGGAGGGGGGGTGAAAAAAAAAAAAAGATCTATTAAGGAAGAACTTCAGTCAGACAGTTAAAACTCATTTGGTTTATGATCTGCTGCTTATGAGCACTTCTACGTGTTGAAAGCCCTTGGAGTCCCATGAAAGCATTAGGAGCTCACAGTAAACTCCCTTGTTCCTCCCAGCAGCCTTCTGTTGGACCTAGAAATCTTAGTACCTGCTGGATGCTTGAGGTAAATAATAAGCAGACAAATCATTTTAAAATCTTCTTCAAGGGCTTCTTTCTCTGTTGTAAAAGCCCAC